TGCATGATGCAGGCAATCAGAGCCTCTGTAACGCCCACATCTAGAAGATGCAGACTACCTCTGTAACACTGTAAACACTGAGATGTAAGTCCTGTTTGAATCGGTGCACTGGGTAATAAGAATTGCAACTCAAACATCATTCAGAAAACTAGTCCCATCTGAATAGGCTACAGATACAATAAATAATTCCATCCAGGTTGTGAAGTTTCATCTGGTCAGCATGGGCAGCTAGCCTTGCCGATACCTTAAACTAGCCAGTACACTGACCAAAAATTATGTTTTTGAATCACCTTTTTCATGTATTTAAGCAGAACTATCCAGAAGGTCCGGTCTTTAGATCTTTGGTCAGTTTGCATTTACTGTGATAATGCATGAAGACATAAACCTACCGCTACATTACGGCCATGACCTCAGCTTACCAGATCAAAATTGAGTGTAAGTGCTGAAAGGGCAGAACTCACACATGCCCTAAAGGTCAAAGACCCTTAGAACAGCCCCCTATAATCCTCACAACAGACACTCACAGTGCATCTAGCTGCTTTTGTCAAAGGAATTCTTATCTAAGTGCTTTTGTGCTGTGTGTGTTCTGCATGCTGTGTTTCTAATGCATGTCATGAATTCCAGGGGTGGGCTACTGTCAGCACAGGTCAAGAGAGGTCAGCACAAATGGTCTTAATTTAACCACCAAGATTCTAGACAGTTTAAAAAAGGGGTGTCACGCTTACTGCCAGCTCAAACTGACGCCAACAGCGTGGCGGCTGAGCTTGTGTGTCGTGCACAGGACAAGAGAGCCTGATGGTCTACTGTTTGTGAGATGGAAAGGTTAAAAGCCTGCCCTCCCAGAGAGAGAGAGCTTTTAAAGCACATAGAATGTGCTGCCGCCCGATGAGCTGATAGGAGCACAGACAGAGAGAGTGTGTGAGTGACAGCCAGACGGTGTGTGTGTGTGTGTGTGTGTGTGAACTGGGGGGCCAAACACTTAATCTAAGTGCTCGGCAATCAAGCATTACCGCGGGTCAGTCACCTGTGTGAATGCAACTCACTGTGGACACACTAAACACTAGACTTGAAACAGATCACATTACTAAAGACAGAGATACAACGCAAACCAATTAAAGAAATGATAAAGCCATTGGCTCTGCATTAAGGAGCCTTGTTAACTGTGGGAAAATAACTCTAATGCACAGCTTTTAGGGGATTTCTGGTAGGGCTGCATGATGAATCGAAATTAAACTGATTAGTGCGATTTATCAAATCACAAAGGCGGTGATTTGATTAAATAAATATATGCTGCAGGTTTCAGAGTGAAGTGCGGAACTGTGATTATTTACACATTAATTACTCCTGATCTGGTGTTTTCAGTATCTCAGAACGGCTCGGTTCACAGTAAATTGCTGGTGCACACAATCTGCTCTGGGTTTGGGTCGCTTATAATGTGCATTTGGAAAGGCAACATGTGCCAACCATCTTCCACTTCAACTTATAATGAGAAGCGCTTATAAACCAGCTGTTGTCAACAAAAGAAAGCTTTAAGGTTTCCTGCAGTTTTCCTCTAATGTAAACAATTTAAAGGTTTTGAAATTAAGGAATTTGTTTACTATAAAAAAAAAGTGTTCTATAAAATGCAAAATAAATAGTAATTATTATTCATCTTAAATACAAATTTTTATTATTTTATAGTGAATATTACAATAGTAATTGTGACGAGAGGGGCGGGGCCGAGAGCCGTGGGAACGGAGCGAGGCCGGTGGAGTTATTTCTGTTTTTGTTTTCTTTTTTCCCCAGAAAAATCATAGTTACATTTTTCCTTAAAACATGTAGCTGTAATTCTTACTTTTCAAAAACCGCAGCAGGAGCAATAATGATGATATGAATGTTCAATAAATTAAAGATCTAAGCTCCTAAAGTGATTCTACTTCATACAACGAGTGTTCTCTTCAAGTGTTGTAGTTCATTTGTGTTAAGTGTATATTATTTACAGGTTGCAACGTAGGAAGGTGTTGCATTAAAGGGTTAGTTCACCCAAAAATGAAAATTAGCCCACAAATTACTCACCCTCAAGTCATCCTAGGTGTATATGACTTTCTTCTTTCAGACGAATCCAGTCGGAGTTATATTAAAAATTGTCTTTGATCTTTCAAGCTGTTTAATGCCACTCAGCGGGTGTTGCATGCATCAGTCCAAAAGAACTTAAATAAAAAGTGCCCATCCATAAAAAAAGTGTCTCACACGGCTCCGGGGGGGTGAACAAAGGCCTCCTGTAGCGAATCGATGCATTTTTGTAAGAAAAATATCCATATTCAAAACGCAATAATCATTTTAATGTAGCTTGCGCCAACAGTTCTACACGGAAGCAGCTAAGGGCCAATGACATATGAGGTCAGCTTTGTGCATGTGCCGGTGAGTCTCGTGAAAACCAACGACAAAAACTCATAAACGATTCGCTACAGGAGGCCTTTGTTCACCCCCCGGAGCCGTGTGAGACACTTTTTTTATGGATGGGCACTTTTTATTTAACTTCTTTTGGACTGATGCATGCAACACCCGCTGAGTGGCATTAAACAGCTTGAAAGATCAAAGACAATTTTTTAATATAACTCCGACTGGATTCGTCTGAAAGAAGAAAGTCATATACACCTAGGATGACTTGATTTGGCTAATTTTCATTTTGGGGTGAACTAACCCTTTAATGCATTAATAGAATGTGTAGAATTTTATAACAACTTTTAATATGGCTCCTCGGATAAGAAGAGTCACAACTATCTTCTATAAAAAGTATAATTGGAAATAAGAAAATTCTTGTCAGTAAGGTGCACGTATTTCTATTTAACTCCAAAATCAAAGATAAAAATTTAGAAATATAATGTATAACAATTATTAAGTATGTTTTTAGGATCATTAATATTCTTTGCATTGCGTTAATTAATTGCATGTGAAATAACCCAGTAATCAGAATAATTCATTCTTCTGCCAATATAATTCATTAACAGTCGGCTGTTTACAGTTGTTGTAATGGTTGGTAGCAACTTGCCACATTAATATAAAATGTAATATCTCACATAGGGATGTAACGATTACCGGTTTGACGATAAATCATGATAAAATTCCCCACGGTTAGTATTACCATTTCATCTTTTAATTATCATTAAAACCGTATAAGATTACTGAGATTTGAACAATTTGTGATAAATAAATACTGTCCAGCATAAATCACAGTTTTAAGTAAGAGTCTCACGTGCATACAGCATGCAGAGTAGTTTCGTTTTGAGTGAAAACAGGGTGGAAAAGCTAGGAGGTTTTAAAAGTACGGTGGCCGAGAAGTGCAAAGCAGATCACAATTCTGAAAACAAAATTACAAATTACAAACGCAAATGCAAGTCTAAAAAACAAAATAACAATTCAGAAAACACAACAACAATTCAGAAAACATTATAATAAGTCAGAAAACACAACAACAATTTAGAAAACTTTATAACAAGTCAGAAAACACAACGACAAATCCGAAAACAAATTAACAAGTCAGAAAACACAACGACAAATCAGACAAACCGGAAGAGGTAGGTATAGTTTGAGACAGCGCCATTGGTTTGGGATTATGCACCGCTGACTGGACGAGACATCTGTCAATCAACGTATACAGGAAGAACCAGCCGAAGTGCAGCAGAGTCGTGGTAGAAAGTTCGGAGATGGTATTAAAGTAGTTCAGTTTAAATGTATTGTATGAATTGCCGTTACTATGGAATAAAAAAATATGGGGTGTCTATTTACATTTAGTTAAAATTGGCTGTTAATCATCAGCTCCAGTGGCGCAGATGGATAAGTGTGTGCCCTTGGCTTTTTGACGCGATCGACTCGGGTTCGATCCCGCCTTTTGCTGAACTTTTTTTTCCTCCCTTTTCTGGGAGTCAGCGGTGAGTAATCCCAAACCAATGGCGCTGTCTCAAACTATACCTACCTCTTCCGGTTTGTCTGATTTGTCGTTGTGTTTTCTGACTTGTTATAATGTTTTCTGAATTGTTGTTGTGCTTTCTGAATTGTTATTTTGTTTTTTAGACTTGCATTTGCATTTGTAATTTGTTATTTTGTTTTCAGAATTGAGATCTGCTTTGCGCTTCTCGGCCACCGTATAAAAGAGTGTTAAGGGAATTATACAAATGAATATATGAATGAATTAATTATATGAATGTACCTCTGAAGGTTCTGATTGTCTTCAGAACCGATTCGATGGCATTTTGTTTTCATCTTCGCTCCATTTAATACCTAAAGGAAGTGTTCTTAATCGCAATACTGCTTTGTCCACGGAGTTTACGGGAAACAGCTGTAATTTAGCTTTTCCATAAGCGCCACCTGCTGTCAGCGAGTGGATTTACAGAGACTTATATTTACATTCAGCCTGTGTGCAGTTTCTGTCTGGCCAGAAATGGACAGAATTTGCATGCCCTGCTGTAAATTTTGACCAGTTGATGAAAAACTGTGGATTCTACACATTTAAACAATTCAGATAAGTTATCTAGAATTATTTATGGAGCAGATAAAATGCATATAATCATTTATTAATCAATTATCATTTATAAACATATCTTTTCTTTATTCAAAGGCTGAAATGCGAGGTTTACCTTATTATGAAACTTTTTCAAAGCTTTATTTGAACATTTACATTAGATATTTCAACATGCTATTAAACTGTTGTCATTTAAAATCCGAACATCATTGGTAATGTTATTGTTTTAGTGATTATGCAAACAAAAAGTAATTTTATTTGTTGTTTGTTGATTTTTAAATATAAAACTTGGTGAAGTGATTTATATGTCGGTACTTATTTTAACATCTCCAGCACATTTTAACAATACCGTGATAATACTGATAACCCTGATAATTTTGGTCACTATAATCGTGATAAGAAATGTTCATACCGTTACATCCCTAATCTCACAGAACACACCTATCGGCATGCCTTAATACCAAATGATATGTTATTTGTCTTGTTGTTTGTTTAACAGGTAATGGTGAGAGTTAGTGGTGAGATTCTCAGCGTTTCTGAACGGCCATTATCCTCCAGCGGATTTGTGTGGAGATATCGCCGTGTCCTACAGCTCAGCTACAGGTATGAGCTCCTCATGAACACTCCCACGCTCTGTTTGTCTGACTCCATCTCTCAGCTCTGGAACACATTACCCTCTTTCCTCACTTCTTTAAGCCCTTTTACTCATTTCAAGATGTCTGGATGTTTGCCAAAGCAGAAAAAGCAGCAGAAAGGCTGCGTTTGTCCTGGCGTTTCTCTTGGATGGTGTCTGTGTTGGCAGAGACTGCTGGAAAACTTCCTGAAAATATCCGGGAGTTTCCCTTTTCTCTGGCTCTCTTTTCCTTTCTGTCCTTCTGAAAATAGTGAGTCTGTTTTACACATTAGCTCGCAGGTACATGGGACTGCACACGCACACATGCTTGTCTAGCTTTTTTTAATAGGGACATACCATAGACTTCTATTGTTTTTAGATTAAGCTAATTAGAATGACTAAAGACTAACCCAAACCCTAACGCTTTGAGGTTTTGTCATATTTAGCCAACTTATTGGGGAAACTTTGTGTCCAAACTTTAGCAACTAAGTCAATTTACTGTAAAATATAAAATAGTGCTATACTATTTTAGTGTTTAATATTCCCTATAATATTCAGCATAGTATAAAGCTAATTATAATGACTTTTTAGTATAAAACACACACACAGAGCACTCTCACTGTGTTGGCTGTAATGGCACTCAGTTTCTTTGACTCTTTCTGTTCACCTCTTTCTTTCTCTCTCTCTCTCTCTCTCACTCACACACAGACACACACACACAGAGACACACACACACACACACACACACACACGCACACACACACACACACACACGCACACACAGACACACACGTTGTTTTTGTGAATTGTGGGGACATTCCATAGGCGTAATGGTTTTTATACTGTACAAACTGTATGTGCTATTGCCCTACACCTAAACCTATCCCTTACAGGAAACCTTGAGCATTTTTACTTTCTCAAAAAAACTCACTCTGTATGATTTATAAG